GAGCTGCGACTCTCCACGTCGATACCAAATACACTAGCCAATTTTCAATAGCAATACACAACAGATGATATACAAGATTCATAACACATCTTGCCTTTTCGTTTTCTTTTTCTCAACAGCAGCCACCACAAGCTAACTCCAAATAAACTGAAATAAGAATGCTCTAAATATACTTCATGCTCGGCATAATAATCTCACAAACTTAGCACATAAGTGCAACAAAATTCGGCCAAAAACACATGAACAATATCTCATTTTCTCCCCATTTTTCATGTAGGTTAAGCATGCTCTTTAAACCAATCCACTTAACTTAGAAACTCTGGACAAATTATTGAAGCAGGGAAAATCAAGCATTTCCAAACAAAATACTGGTTGAACTTTGGGCTCCAAGCTATACATGAAAGTTTTTTGCCCTTTGCCAAGCGAATTAGGACAACAATACATTTCTTCATTTTATTTAATTAAGGAAGAACGTGTACACAGTTCACACACCCCAAGAAGAAAACAAAGCTTCAAAACTACTCTACCCAGCTACATTTTTTTTCTGTAAAACACCAAAAAAAAAAAAAAAAAAAGGTAAAAAGGAAAGCGAAGTCCTGAAAACCCTAATTCGAAAAAGTAAATCACACCAAATCACAAGTCAAAAAACAAACACCACTCATATATGAAGGGAATCATAAAAAATAAAAAATAAAATAAAAAATAAAATAAAACCTAAATCGAAAAAAATCAGACCTAATTCCGGCGAGGTCCTGAAGAGTCCGGAGAGGTCGTGAATACGGCGTGATGGCGAGGTCACTTTCGGTCAAAAGAGTCGCGTGGGCCGTGGGTCGCGAAGAGGTTCTGCAAAGCGATTTTTTTATAATCGTTAAGTGCAGAGAAGAGCGAAGAGCGAATTTATTTTGAATCGTGATTGCAGAGATCTTAAAAGGGAAAGGGGAGAGAAGATGAATCGTGAAGTGCAGAAGAGCGCGGAAGAGCGATTTTTTTTTGAAAATGGATGAAAAAGGGGTTTGAAATTATTTGGTAAACAAACTTGTGTAGAAGAAAGAGGAGAAATTTGTGTAAAACAAATGTTTTGAGCGGAAGAGCTAAGGGTAATTTAGTAAAACTACATGCCAAAATGGCTAAAAAAGAGGTTTTTTAGAAAAGGTGGCCAAAATTTGTTTTTTGTAAATTTTTATGGCTATTTAATGGTATTAACACTGCATAAATACTGTAAGCAAACCCCTTCCACATTTCTAAACATATAGCAAATAGAACAACAATATAAACACATGTTATTAACATAGATTTATAGAAGCTGAAACAAATAACATGAGAAACAGAAATTAACATAGATTTATGAGGCACATTTATCAACATAGATTCATAATCTGATGAAGATAGAATAGTACCAGTTGAGCAAAGAATTACAGCCGACAAATTGGGAACCGAATTGGAAATTCTCAACACAAACGAGTGTAAATTCGAGAACCTTAGAAACTAAACTCGGGTCTGCGTAAACACAGAGGACAACATCCGAAGCCTCAGGAGTGGGCAGTTTCTCTTTGCACCTCGTGCAGTCACGCACGACCGGGAACGGGGGAACATCTGGCGGTGGTGGTCTCCCAGCCGAGGCCAACAACATCCGAAGGGATCCGCATCGGCAATGGTTTGGGAAGAACGAAGAGAAAGATAGAGGAAAGAAGAAAAAGAAGATTGACGATAAAAGAGGAGAAAGAAAGTGAGGGAGAAAAAAGAAAAAATGGTTATAAAAAATTGGTTACTTATTTGAAGCAGTTATGCTCTTTAAAAATATTGGCGTAAGTATGGAATGGTAAAAATGCTATAACAATAGAGTAAATAGAATTTTATAAGGGATAGGCAGTGTCCTTTATTCTTTTATTAATTTATTAATGCGATTGGGCTTGGTAGACAAAAGTGGGCTTGGAGCAATTTGGAGCATATCACGTTTTAGCTAAAGGAACAAAAAAAAGTAATTTCTTTT